GTGAGGGCTGCAAGCAGCAGTGGGGCTGCCCAAGCCCTGGGAGTTCGCACCTTGCCACAGCCTGTCCCAGGTGCTGAGCATGGAGCTACAGTTTGTACTGTGAGGCTTCAGTCTTGCTTCGGTCACGTTCCTTTCTATCCATTCTCCCCCATTGCTTCCTTTTGGAGCAGGAATTTTTTTTTTGTTTATTTTTTTTTCCGGTACCGGGAATCGAATTCACGACCTCACGCTTGCCAGGCAGGTGCTGTGCCACTTAGCTAAATCCCCAGCCCCATTCTTTTTGATTTTTATAAGGGCTCAGAGCTAAGAGTTTGCCTGAGTCTCAGAGGAGACTTTGGACTTGGTCTGTTCAGACATGCTGGGATTCTTAAGACTTGTTGACCCTTAGAATGGACTAAGTGCATTTCCTACAATGAGATGGACCTAAGACGCTGGGGGCAGTAGTAACATGGTACTGCTTGGATCTAAAATGTTCCCCACGGGTCTGGTGCTTGGAAGGGGATTGGATAACGGGGTGCTGTGCTCGTCTGTGGGTTCACGCGTTCAGGAATTCACAGCTGGCTTGCTGTTAGGAGGGGCAGGTTGAGGGCTGCCTGGGGCGCCTCCTCCAAGGCGCTTTCATCTGGGACCTCCTCACCTCTGCTTCTTGGCTCGGGGTGGAGCAGCGGTCCTCTGCCAGCGCCCCCTGCCGTGCAGCTTCGGCCTTGCAGCCAGCCGAGCACGGACTGCATTCTTGAACCCTAGGGAACTCTTGTCCTTTAAGCTGTGCGGGTCGGGTGCTTTGTCCCAGCAGTGGGAAAGTGACGAAGATGGCTCTAAGTAGCAGCGCTGCCCTTTAACCTCCTTGACACCGGAAGCTTCTGCTTCACTTGCAAGTCTGCACCCGTCTCTCCTCTCCCCAGTTCTCCTCAGAACCTGCACTTACGCACCTCCGGTGGCCCTTGACTCTCTCCTGTAGTGTTGCCCAACAAGGAGGCTCGACCTGCCCCAAGCAGGAGGTGAGGCCCTGGCTACTGAGTGAAATGTCCACCTCTACAGCTCTCTCACAGATGCCTGCAGGGCCGGATACTGTGCATCGCTTCCTCATCATTTTAATGGCTGATTGACTTTTCGCTAGTTGCATTTTATTTATTTACTTTCTCAGACAGGGTCTTGCTATGTTGTTCAAGCAGACCTTGAACTCACTATGTAGCCCGGGCTGGCCTTAAACTCATGGTGCTCCTCCTGCCTCAGCCTCCTGAATGAATGCTGGGTTACAGGTGTGCACTACCGTTCCCAGCTGTAATTTGTTTATGGGATATGTGTACATTTATCATAAAAGTCAAATAATAAAAATACATAGAGACAAAGCGGTCTCTGCTTCCCCCTCCCCTGGAATCCTGAGAGCTGACCACTCACTAGAATTGTTCTGTCGCTGTTCAGAGCTTTGCTGGAGATATCCCTAGGGTGTGGACTTTGAGCATTAGGACCCTATGCCAACACTATTTGCAATTTACCTTAACAAAAGCCCTGAGAACTATCACAGAGAGTGTTCTACAATAATATAGACTTGAACCTGCTGTGACCCTGTGCAGTGTGGCACGAGGCGGCGAGTTGAGGGTGCCTCCAGCTCTGGAGTGGTCCTGCGGCCCCGAACCACCCCTGAGCACGTAGGGACCCAGACAGAGCCCTGATATTGTGCTCTGCGGCTGAGCCCAGGGGCCCGTGTGGAGTCAGGGCAAGGCCAGTGAGATCCTGGGGGGACCCTGAGAGAGCAGGAGGGCAGAACCTTCTGCCTTGGAAGGAGGAAAAGCAGAGGGTGGGGACCCATATTTGGGGAGGTCGAGGTGTGCTCCCCCTGTGCGGGCTAACAAAGCCCTGACAGCCCCCGGCAGCGGGCAGAGGACAGCACCCCAGGCAGCCTGAGGGGCCAGCCCTGCCTGGGGCAGGGAGGTCCTTCTCCTTCACAGGAAGGTGGCTTCTCCCTCAACCTTCCCGAGGAGGGATGTGTTTCAGGAGCTGTGAAGACACAGCCCCAGCCTGTAACTGTGTCGCTGGGGCCGGAGGTGACCGTGTCCTGCCAGGGTCACGCACCGCTCTGGGGGCCCGGCCCAAGGGCCCTGTCTCAGAACCACCGCTGCACGCGGTTTGATGGGGAGGCCCGGGTGGATGGCACCGGGCAACTGTGCTTTGGGGAGCGGCAGGCGCCACAAGGACAGTTAGTATAGAAAGGGACCCCGGGCCACCTGGGGTCTCTGCACTGAGAGGTGCTCTGCACTGCACCCCCTGTGTGAGCTGGGGCTTGGGCACACACCCCCACGGGGGCATTAACCCATGTGTGCACGCAGAGCGGACGGCTTGTGGGGAGGCAGGCTGACGGGGTGTTGCCTGGGTGTGTGTGTGGGTGTGTCTTGTCCCCACGCTCCTGTCTGCCCCCCCCCCGCCTGCCGTGAGGTGAGCGGCTGTGCCCACCACACCCTTCCTCACGATGTCCCGCCCTGCCTCAGCCCACAGCCGTGGAACCGGCCGACCATGGACGGAACCCTTGGCAACCGTGAGCCCAAATAGCTCCTTCCTCCTCCGTGTCACCTTTCTCGGGCATCCAGTCACTGGTGCAGAGCTGCCCACCACCCAGCAATCCTGGCAGCCCCTGCTCACCACTCTGGGATGGCTGGGGGAGGCCGGGAGGCAGCGGGGGCAGGAGGAGCTGTCTGCCTCAGTCACACCTGCGAGCAGTGTGGGGCAGGACCGTGGGCATTTCCTGGGTGCCAAAGGGGTAGGGAACGTGTCCGGGACCAGGGCAGGGCAGAGCCTTTATGCAGAGGGTTTAACTGGATCCTTTAAAAATTGAGTGACTGTTAAGTGTGGTGGTACAGTCTGTAATCCCAGCCCTTGAGAGGCTGAAGCAAGAGGATCACTGATGGGCTACAGAGTGCGACCTTGTCTCAAAGAACAGACACAAAACAGCAACAAATAAATAAATGCACAGCAAGAGTCTTTCCTTCCTTCAAGTCAGGGGGAATCACAATCCCTGACCTGAAATTATACTATAAAGCTACGGTCATAAAATCAA